AGAGAGAGAGAGAGAGAGAGAGAGAGAAGAGAAGAGAGAGGGAGAGAGAGAGTAGAGAGAGGGAGAGGGAGAGAGAGAGAGAAGAGAGAGGGGGAGAGAGGGGGGGAGAGAGAGAGAGAGAGAGAGAGAGAGAAGAGAGAGAGAGTAGAGAGAGGGAGAGGGAGAGAGAGAGAGCGCGCGCCAACCCCCGGGTGCCGGGACGCGAGCCCCTTCCCAAGGGTGGGGGGTGGCGGCGCGAGACCTCCTGGTCCTGCACCACCCTCCCTCCTCCGCCCCCCGTGCTCCTCTCCAACAAAGGGGCTGGCCCGCGGGGGGAGGAGGAGGAGGCAGAGGAGGCGGAGGAGGAGCCGCCGAAGGAGCGAGCCGCTCTCTCGCACAAAGTTGTGGAGTCGCCCTTCCTCGGAGGAGGGGAGCGGGCAGCCGCAGCCGGCCGCGGGCTTTCTCCCGCCGAGGGGCGAGGAGGAGCCTCTGGCTCCCAAAGCCGATTGGGGAATCACCGGGAGCGGCGCCCCCCTTCCCTTGGGTCATTTTTGCAGGCGGAAAACTCTCTAGTGTTTGGCAAACTTGGTGCCTGCGCGCCCGCTCCAGGTTTGCGCTTTGACTGTTTTGTGTTTGGCGGAACTACCAGGCAGGAAGATTGCACAAGTCAGGGGCGTTTTCATTCGGGTGTCAATTTTTTTTTCCTTTCGGATCTCGTCTGTTTCTCCACGTTTCATTTTTTTTTTTTAAACATCGCACCAGGAAACTCACACACACACCCCCTCGCAATTACTACGACTCAAACTGGTCCAGAGGAGCCGGCGGCCGGCTCCGGACGCGGCGGCGGCCAGCGGGGAGCAGGTAGGCGCGTGCATTATTGAAGCCTCGGGCTGGGTAATGTGAACGCGGCCCCCGAGGAGTGGGTGGGGGCCGGGAGGAGGATGGATCTTTCTGCGGCTCTCCCGTCCCGGATCGGCGTCCCGAGCTCCTGCTCGGGTCTCAGAGTCGAAATGTAACCAACTTTTGCGTGCACTTTCCCCGGAGCCTTCGGTTCGGCTCCCCCACCCGACCCTGGCGGGAGGCAGAATGCCAGGAACGTGGAGCGTGCTCGGGCGTGTGGTCCTCGGGATCCGTATTAGTGGCGAACGACCCAAACTTCTCGGCCCGGTTCTGCGCTGCCTTCTGGCGCCCCCAATCCTCACTCCCCCTGGGGCGAAAGGGTCGCGCGTCCGTGCATCGCACGGTGCAGGGCGCTGGGCCAGGGATCTCCGAGAGGGGACGTGGCCTCCTAGGACAGCCTGTCACACACACCCGGGCCCGGGAGGGCGGGGCCCCGGCGGTGTCCGCCAGGGGAGGGTGGGCAGATCGTGGCTGTGTGGTCGGCGGGCCGGGGAGCGCTTCCCAGCCGGCCGCCAGACTGGGAACGTGCTAGACCTCTAGGTGGCTGCTGCTCTCGAGGGTGGGGCTCCGGAGAGAGTGGCGCGATCACCAGCTCCCCGCCAGCGGCTCTGGAGAGGCTGAAGGGATCAGGGGCGAGGGGGTGGGGGTGGGGGCTCACGGGTGCGTAGTCCAGCGCAGTCTCCTCGTCTCGTTTTCCGGACTCTTGGCATCTCTTGCTGTAACTGACAAGGTAATTCATGCCCCCTTTTGGCCCGTGGTCCTAGGCTCTGGTTGCCCAAGGCCACTTACAAAACCAACAAAGCACCAATTGTAGGCTGTGCAACTTTTAGATGGCACGTTGTTAAAAGAGATTATTTCCCCTCAAGTCCCAGATTACGAAAGGGACTCGTTCCCAGGCCCCCCCAGGAGGAAGAGAAAACGTGCCCGACCGCCAAGAGCCGTGGGACTCGCACTTTCCTTTACAATGAACTGGAGAGCCCGGGTATAACTCCAAGTCCCGCTCTCTGGGGTGTCTTGGGGAGGGCCTCCTCAGGTCACTTAGGTCACCAGGGCCTCGCGGTCCAGTTCCCCATGCTGCGCTTGGGAGGGTCAGTGCACTGGTCGCCGCGGTCAGAGCGCACCGAGTTCGTGGGGAGGCCGGATTCCCCAGGTCGGAGCCGGCGCTCCGGGCCTTCGGGCACCGCGGCAGGAGCTGCCTCCAATCCTTTGTAATTTGCACCGGCCTCGAGAAGTCGCGCCGACCCCTCCGGGTTGGTTGCGAGTGGGCGTGGGGGAAGACAACCTGCGGGTGGCAGTGGGTCTGCCGAGAGCTGGAGGAATGCGAAGCTCGTGGGTCCTTCAGCCGCGAGGGCCAGGGTGGACGTGGAGCTGTTCCCCGCTCCTTTTACCGGCATTTATGGGACCGATGAGACAGCTTTTTAACTCTCCTTTGGGTGTTTTCCTAAAATTTATTGCCCCCGTAAACAGTATTAATCACAGTAGTATTAACCTTCCCTGGAGTGCTTCCGAGTGTGAATGGCAGTTCTTGGCACTCAGCGGTTTCTTTCACTGTGTTTCAAGCAGAGCAGCAAACTTGTCCCCTTGGCTTCCCTTCCCATTATCGCTAGCACCCCCAGGTTTGGGATTCCAGAGGAAATGAACGAGTGGTTTTTCGTCAATGACTTACACTGCATTTCCATCATAAAGCACATTGTTGAAGACTGTGTGTGTGTGTGTGTGTGTGTGTGTGTGTGTGTGTGTGTGTAATAACCAAAATCTTTAAAAATTAAAACACTAATTTTGACATTAAGGCCATGCCTGCCTTAGATTTATTGCCACACACCCTTGCCAGAGATGTTCTGAAGGAAGAGCTGGTGAACCTGGACTTGAGGGATTTGGTTTCGGTGGGGAACATCTGGTTCTGGCTAAACTTTACAGAACATCATATTAAGGAAAGGGAAATATAGGGTGGCGCTAACAATACCTTACAATTGTATAGGGCTTAAAGCTTCTGAAGCAATGCCCCATTCATTTATTCTTTTTTTATTTTTTATTTTTGAGTTGGAGTCCCACTCTGTCGCCCAGTGGCCTGCTCCCGGCCACTGCAGCCTCGACCTGCTGGGCTCCTGCGATCCCTCCGCCTCAGCCTTTGGAGTAGCTGGAATTACAGGCGCGTGCTACCATGCCTGGCTCATTTTTTAATTTATTGTAGAGATGAGGTCTTGCCAAGTTGCCCAGGCGGGTCTCGAACCCTCAGCCTCAGGCAATCCACTCACCTCAGCCTCCCAAAGCACGTGATTACAGGCCGAGCCACCGAGCCGGCCATTCATTTATTCTTAGTCTCTCATCTAGCTTTGCGGAGAAGATGGGATCTTCTCAATTTCATTGGTGTGGAAGTAGAAGGTGCCATTGAGATACATTTTTAGTGGTGAGAAGTTAATTCTATCTCCTGTCAACCAAAGTTGCTACAGCATTTGGGGATTTAGAAGGAGGTATCCTTTGCCTGATATCACTCAGACTGGAGTCTCCTGGCTATTAATGGCAACACATGAAATCAGAGGCTATCACTGTTTGAATGGTCTTCTGTTATTTTCCTTTCTCCTTGCCTTTCCCTTGTCCTCTAATCACTTTTTCCTGCTTATCTTTGCAGCATGAAGGGACTGAGAAAGTTTGAAAAAGTGTCTTGAGGGGTGTGGCAAGTAAAACATTGTAATGAAGCAGTATTACTGGTCATGTGCAAATGAAATAAAGTCCTGTGTAAACTGTTTAATTTTCTCTTTTATGGAGTGGGAATAAGCTTTGGGAAGCATTGAAGTGGAGCCCCTTGGATAAGACCAATGGTGAGGAAAACTGTTAGACTTATCTCTTCAAGGGAATTCACTCTAGTTTTTTTTTCTAGGAAAGGGACTTTTTCCTTGGGAAAACTTAATTTTCCATATTAATAAAATTTTATATACATTATTCTGGAAAAAGGTTTTGGTTCTTGAATATGATAAAATACACTTAAGAGTTGAGCCAATTTCTTGGTTATGTACCTGATCAAAGCAATTTAACCACATAATAACCTAGGAATTCTTAACAGTAGTAGAGCCATATAAAAAATGAAAAAAGTTTTTTATACTCTCCTAAAATCTGTCAGATTGATGATCCAATCCTGTATATCCTACTGACTCTTTGTCATCTCCACTTATATATCTCAGAGGCACCTGAAACTCAGCAAGTTCAAACCACATTCATTATTTCTTTCTCCCAACTGGCTATCCTCCAGTGTTCCCAGGTCACTGAATGACTCACCTCCCACTTAATTGCCCAAGCCAAAATTAGGAAGTCGTTTTGCATGTTAGTGTCCTGAACCTCTCATATCTGATTGGTTCCCAAGTCCTATTGGACTTTCTTTGATAGCTAAATATCCCACATATTCACCCATTTCTTTCCATCTACTCTTGTTTAGGCCACAGTCATTTCCTGCTTGTCATGTTACAATAGAATAGTACAATAATCATCCAGATGCCCTTTGACTAGTTTCTCTAGTAACCACAATATTTACTGCATCTCTTTCTTTCTCTGCATGTTTGTATACACATACACATACATATATGTTTGAACTGAAGTTGAAGATATTATCACACTTCACTGTTAAATTTGATCAAGTCACTTCCCTTCTTGAAGCCATCCACTGGTTCATCGTTGTTCTTTAGATAAAGACCAAAAGCTTTGACATGGTCTTCAAGGCCCTGTCCCTGGTCCTGCCTGCTATATCCCTTACCTAGTTCAACAGAATACCCTTGTCTCCTGGCTCTCTTCTCTCCAAAAACAGTGACCTGTGCTCAGCTCTTTGATTCCTCCATGATTCTTTCCGCCACCTTACGTGGGACATTCTTACCTTTTCTTTTTCCACTTCGCTTTTTGGCTAATTAAGTTTTTGTCATCCTTGAAGGCTTGGCTCAAATGTCACTTCTTCAAGAAAGCCTTCTCTAGTTGCCTAGGGCAGGTCGGATTCCTCTCTGTATGCTCTTATTACTTTATGCTTCTCCTTTGTACATTTGTAATCTATCAGTATTATAACGAAGTAATCCATTATATTATTAGTTGCTTAGTGTCTGTAAGCTCCATAATGACAGAGGCTATGTCTCTTGTTGATAGTAATATCCCCATTGCCTGGATGAATGCTTTATACAAAGTAGGCACTCAATAAGTATTTACTGAATGGTTAACTAAATAAAAAAATAAACTTTTTTTTGAGTCGGTAATTTCCCTTTTCTTTTTAGGTATTGGTCTCAAGCTGAATGATCGTAGGAAGTTGAAAGTCTTAAAGAGAGGACCTGGTACAGTTTTTGGATTACACCGAAACTCAGCCAAGATGGCCAAGTATGGAGAACATGAAGCCAGGCCCGACAGTGGGCAGAATGAATTCAGTGATATTATTAAGTCCAGATCTGGTAGGTAATGGAAGCTCAAGACAATTATGGATTTTTATGTATAAATTATTTAGAAGACAGGTTTCTTGGCTTGTTTATCATGGTTCTTGTGAGGCAAACTTCTTTTGAGAGACTTAATTCTGACAAATGACTATCATTTTGTAAAAGGTAATATAATGTTTCTGAGTGTCCTATCTTACTTTCTCAACCCAATTTTGTCTCATTGTATGTTGACTTACATTGCTTAGTGAAACTGCTACGTGTAGCTAAATGTTGTTTATTTATAAGACTATACCATGAAAATACAAAAATACTAGCCAGGTGTGGTGGTGTGTACCTGTAGTTCCAGCTACTTGGATGGCTGAGGTGGGAGCGTCGCCTGAGCCCAGCAGGTTGAGGCTGTAGAGGATATGAGCATGCCACTGCACTCCAGCCTGGGTGACAGTGAGACTCCAACTCAAAAAAAAAAAAAAAAAAAAATGAGGACAGAGACATCTGGACAGATAAAAGGAATACGCAAATAAAGCATTCCACATTAAAAAAAAATACAAAAATACATCTGAGCATCTTTCCCCTCTATTCTCTGAAAATTGAAGAGATTATATGCTTAAAGTAGGAAGTACTGTAGTTTCTGGCAGGAAGGATCTTCTCATGCTTGGATTCCATTACCATGTGTGCTCACCTCCATCCTTGTTGGTGAGCATTGCTAGGCTATCAGGTGTCCTACCTTGAAACTTCTTATGAATCTTCTCAAGGTAAAGTTTTCACGTAGGTAATCTAACAAACTACACTGGTAGATTAATGGTTTTCATATGAACATTTAAATTGGGGACTTCAGGGATACCACCCCCTCTTCCAATCTTTCTTATATAACTGGGTACTTTTTGACTCTGGCTGTACAAATGAATCAACTGGGGGTTTTCAAAAAATGCAGATGCATTGGCATCACTCCAGACCTATTGAATAAAAATGCCTGTATTTTAAAAAAGCTTCAAATATGATTCTGAGGCAGGCTCAAAGGGTAGATGTTTTTGAGCAGGCAGGGTCTTTCTGAACTTTGAAAATTACACAGAACTCCACCCTTGGTGCGAACACTATACTTAAGTAATTTTAAGAGTTACTTTAGGTATAAAAATATATCCAGTGTCACTTTAAAAACAAAAAAGGAACCCAAAGCCTCTTTTGCCATGTGAACCATCTTTATATTGCTAGGAGCTTATCTCTTATTATTATTTGAAACTGCAGAAATAGTCACTGAAAATAAGATCTAAATTAACTGTCTTAGAATACACATTTTTCTCCATCATACTAGTGTTTGTTGATTGGTAAAGATTTAAGTTATTATAGACTTGCCTTTAAATATGTAGCAACTATTGTGAAGTTTGAAGAATCTTCTGGAGGTGTAGAAGATATCCTAATATTCTAATCAGATATCCTATTTTAAAATATGTGTTGAGGATGTTCTGTTTCTCTAGAACTCTTTTTGTTCTAAATGTTTGAACACTATGAATGCTATATAAATATAAAGGATTATTAATATCTTCTTAGGGGCACAGAGTATATATTCAGACATATGTAAATATAACAGAGAGAAAAACAGAAGAGAGACCATTTAAATTCTCCATACTTGTCATGTTTTATAAATTGTGAGGTGGTATATTATTAAGTAGTTTTCCGAGTCAACCTCTATTAAAGCAAGACCTTTCATATTTATAACTTGTACTTTAGCTATGTCCATAAAAAAGCTAATTATGTAAGTTCAAAAATACTGTGTATATATGATGAGCACATAAACTTACAAACTATTCTTTATATTTAAAATTATCATTTAAAAAGGCTGACAGATCTCATATACTGCTGGGAAACAGTTTGGCAAAAATAATAACATTTTTTTTTATTTAAAAAAAATTTTATTTTAAAGATGTGGGAAATTAAAAGTTAAAAAAAGATGCAGGGTACAATTCAGGGTTAGGTATGCCAATGTTCATTATGCAGGTACCTTTGTTGACGAGGTGTGCCCCACCTCCCCTGGCAGTTTCCCACTACTGCCAATCCTTTTCTCATAGTATTGCGATAATTGTTCAAGCTCCACTTATGAATGAGAACATGTGATACTCAGTTCTTTGTTTCTGTGATAGATCACTTAGTATTATAGACTCTAAGTCCATCCAAGTTGCTGTGAAGTTCATAATTTTGTCCTTTGTGACTGCGTAATACTCCATCAGGTATATGTACCGCATTTTTTTTTTTTTTATCCAGTCCTCCTTCAGTGGGCAGCATGTTTGGTTCCATGTTTTTGCTATTGTGAGCAATGCTGCAATAAACATGCGTGTGCAGGTATCTTTTTTATAGAGTGATCCGAGTTCCTCCACGTATATTCCCAGTAGGGAGATTGCGGGGTCGTATGGAAGGTCGATTTTTAGATCTTTTAGGAATCGCCAAACTGTTTTCCATGGAGGTTGTACTAGTTGCATGTTTTTAACACATGAATATTAATTAGCCAAGTAATTCTATTTCTAGAGTTTCTCCCTAAGCAGTATATGAAAATGTACATTCAAGAAGTTGGGCCAGGTACAGTGGCTCACACCTGTAATCTGAGCACTTTGGGAGGCCAAGGTAGGAAGATCACTTGAGTACAGGAGTTCAAGACCAGCCTGGGCAGTGTAGCAAGATCTCGTCTCTACAAAAGAAAAAAAAAAGTTGATTACAGCATCATTTATGATAGAAAAAAATGGAAACACTACAAAAATATAGTAATGGAGGTTGGTTAAGTCATTATTTTCCAAGGTATTTTGAAAGAATCACAAGTGTAGGACTGTTAATATGCAATTCACAAAAGCAACTTTAGGAAATAGTGGTTTAAACCTACTATGTTTCTTTACTGTAGTACATTTGAATAGATCATTTAGAATTTAATTAAATTAGGGTATATTCATAAATGGGAAGATTAAGCATTTATAAAAAAAAATATGGATGTGTGTGTGTGTGTGTGTGTATAAATACACATCCACCCACACAGAAATATGTTTTTTTTTATTATTTGATAAACATTTTTTAGAGCTGCTCAGGTTGGAGTGCAGTGGCATGATCATAGCTCACTGTAATTTCAGACTCCTGGGCTCAAGTAGGTGGGATGACAGGCAAGTGCCACTATGTCTGACTGATTTTTTGTGGAGACAGGGTCTCGCTATGTTGTCCAGGCTGGTCTTTAACTTCTGGCTTCAAACAGTCCTTTCACCTTGACTGCCCAAGGTGCTGGGATTACAGGTATGAGCCATCATGCCTCCCCTAGAATTATGTTCTTGATATAGTTAGTAAAAAAATATGTGTTATATGAAGTTTTTTTGGTGAAAAATATGTCTTAAAAATTAGTAGCCAGGCTCGATGGCTCAGCCTGTAATCCCAGCGCTTTGGGAGGCTGAGATGAGTGGATTGCCTGAGCCCCTTGGGTTCGAGACCTGCCCAGGCAACTTGGCGAGACCTCTAATCTACAATAAATCAAAAATTAGCCGGTGTGGTAGGGTGCACCTGTATTTCCAGCTACTTGGAAGGTTGAGGCAGAAGGATTGGCGGAGCCCAGCAGGTCGAGGCTGCAGTGACTGGGAGCGTGCCATTGCACTCCAGTCTGGGCAACAGAGTGAGACTCCAACTCAAAAAAAAAAAAAAAAAATTAGTAAAGTATACACTAAAATGTTAACAGTGGTTGTTTTGGCATTTTGAGATTATTATTTTTCTCTTTTCTTCCAAATGTATTTTCTAAAGCTCTTCAATAAATTTGTATTACTAAGTTTTTATATTTTTAAAGACTATCAAATTTCTTAGAGTGTTTTAATACCAAGGATATGACTATTGCTTTTTTTTTTTTTGGTGGCATCTACTTCAAAACACATTGAAAAATTAGCTGTTGCATAGCTGAGATAGAAATCACATTCTTTTGGCTGGATTATGTTGCAAAAGTCGGTAGATAAATTTGGATATGAATGGGCCTATTAGTTTCCATCTGGCTTTCTGGAAGATACTTTTTTGCTTTTTTTTAAAGGTAAATTCTTAGTATACAGTTGTCGTATCCCATGGTACTTCAAAATTTACCTATTCCAAGGGATTTTTAGTTTAGATTAAATATACGAATTATCTATATAATATATATATATTTAAAGATCTTCCTTCTACATTCTCTATACTGAATTTGTTGCTTTTTCATTTTTAAAAACTTTGATTCTACCCTGATCCTCTAGGTTTCTTTTTTGTTGGGGGATTAGATGGGAGTAGGGGAATGGAGATTGAGGGAAGAAAACTCATGTTGGGAGGATGCTGATAAATTTAATATCTTGGTTTATGAAGATTCTTCATTTTCTTCTCCAAATCCTTGAATTTTGTCAGTCTAAAAGCCTGGCATAATAAAAAGATATGCGTTTGATGTTAAATTATTGGGATTGTTTATATTGCTTCATTCAGTATTACTTTGCTTCATGCTGTGTGTGAGCTTTTATATGTTGTATTTTTAAAAGCCATTTCCACTATCTAAGCAGAAATACAAAATTATCAAGGGTGGGTAATAAAGTAGTTTTATGAATATAAAAGCCATACATCTGTTTATAGTTGTAGTACATTTGCCTTGGATTTGAATATGTTTTAGAAAGGAACTTGAAAGAGTGTGATCTTTAATGATCAAGGCTTTGTGGTTGAGTAGGAGACTTTTCCTCCTCTTAAAGGCACGTATATCAAGTTCATCATCAATGACAGTCATAATTCGTAGGCTTCATAAAGCTCAACAAGTTAATAAATATATTGAAACAGTAGACCAAGAAATAGTAATTTTAAAAAAGTAAATTATATGGCCAATAGAGGATTGACTCAGAAACTTTTATTTGGAACATTTTAAACATGAAATAACAAAATAGTTTGAAATACTTACTAAATAAAAAAAATCCTCACTGCTATTTCATTTAAAAACTAACATACTTTAGACCTAGTAGCATATAATGCCATCCTTTTCTGTTATTTTCATTACTTGTTGCGGT